TCACAAAAATCTGTATGGTGTAGAGAAAGCTGAGAGAGAAACTATTAAGTCATAGCTGGAATGAAACTCTTTTGTTGGACAGGATTAGTCTGAGCCTCAGTATATAATTTTCTATATGGGTGCTTCTCAACTTATGATGGGGTTACACCTCAACAAACCCACCATAAGTTAAAAACAAGTAAGTAAAAAAATATATTTGATACAATTTTAAAGTGCTGAATATCAGAATTTAGCCACACAGTACCCTGCAGTGCTTCAGTGGTTTCTCTTTGTAACTGTGCTGACTGGATGCTTTGGCTCTCATAGTGTCCCACTGCATATCACTAGCTCAGGAAAAGATCAAAATTCAAAGTACAGCCAGGCGTGGTGGCACATGCTTGTAATCCCAGCGACTTGGGAGGTTGAGGCAGGAGGATTGTGAGTTCAAACCTAGCCTCAGCAATTTAGCGAGGCCCTAAGCAACTCAGTGAGACCCTGTCTCTAATTTAATATAAAAAAGAGCTGAGGTTGTGGCTTGGTGGTTAAATCCCTCTGGGTTCAATCCCTGGTACAAAAAAAAAAAAAAAAAAAAAAGAAAAGAAAAATCAAAGTACGATTTCCACTGAATTTCTATTGCTTTTGCTTTGTCACAAACTTGAAAAATTGCAAATCCAATTATTGTTAAGTTGGAGACCACCTGCAATTTAATTGTTTAAGTTCTTGGCTACAGGTGTGGGCTGGAGATTGTGGGAGTAGAGATAAGGATGGGCCAGTGCTAGGGATCTGAATGAGGTACTGACAGTGGAGAGGTCCTATGGGAGTTGTTCAAGAAAAAGGCAGGGAAGGCTTTCCATACGTGAGAGAATCCCATCAGTGGAGAATATGAAAACTGGAAAAATATGAAAGATGAGACAAGGCTTGGGGTGGGAGGTGGAGCTAGAGAAGCAGGAAAGGGCCAGACTGTGCCCATCTCATGTACTCTACTAAGAATGTGGCTTCACTCTAAGGAGAGGTGCTAAGATGACAGCAGGAGGTCTTAGGCAGGGGTTGTATCTGCTAACTACTGCATTAACAATGCCACGAAATGAACCTCCCCAACAAGAAGTAAAAAACAGTAATCATGTATTCTTGCACACAGACCTGTGAATCTGTGGGCATGGCTCTGATCCAGGCTGCAGGTCTCAGGTTAGCAGAAGATGTGGCTGAGTCTGGGTCCCAGACCAAAGGAAGAGCAACTACCCAATATTAGCTCTTCTCTTATAGAAGTGTGAAAGTACAGGTGGGTGAGTGGACAGACAAATGCCTCTCAAGACTTCAGAGAATAGTCATACCATTATAAAATGACTGCTGGAGCTCCAGTCACCCATCTTCATTTGATACAGGAAGAAGGTAGAAATACATGAAAAAAGGGCACATTCCTCTTTTAGAAGTCCTGGTAATATGACCCAGTGAATCTCATTCATATCTATTCATATCCTAATGACCAGACCTGGCCAGGAAGTTGTGTAGGACTCCAACATCACCTAATATCCTAATAACAATAGGCAGCCACATTCCATTGCTAAAGCACGTCACATGGCCTAGCACAATACCATGGGAGGAAGCAAGGTCAACTCTCCTCTTTGAATGGGAGGTGCCACAAAGTCAGGTGGAGAGTGGTGGTAAAATATAGGGAGGTTGTGAAGGATCATGAGTGATAATTTAGTCTATCTTGGGGATGAGGCAGGTAGACTTTTTCAGATAGTTCACTTGGGCAGTCATATGGAAAGAAAGCAGAGCTGAGAAAGGTGATGCTGGAGTTGAAAGGACCAGCAAAGAAGGTCACATAAAATCTCATGAAAACCCGGACTGGGCAGTAGTGAGCTGGGATAAAGTTGGGTTGATTTAAAACACTGTATGTGATAAAACTATTAGGAATAATGTCCTAGGCTCACTTATGACTGTTTTTCAGATACCTCCATTTAACTTGGAGAGTCCAGGTTGGCATTAGCAACAGTTGTTGCCTACCTAGTATTATTTTCTTCTCTGATTTTACTTGTGATATTAACTTGTCCAACTTAAAAAAAATAGCCATAGATTATTGGCAAGCTCTGGTTATCAGGAAATAAATGGATATGAATGCGTTTCAATGGGTCATATTACCAGGACTTTTAAAAGGGTAATGTGCCCTTTGTTCACGTGCTTCCACCTTCCTGTCTCAAATGAAGATGGCTTGCTGGAGCTCTCGCAGTCATTTCATGGTAACTAGGCCAAAGATGGCTGAGCAGAGAGAAGGATTCTACCTTTGATGACATTCCAAATGACCCCATGCTAGCCCTCAACTGCCAATCTTTAAAATACCAGCTTATGAGTGAAAACCCATACCTTCTTTAGGTGCGATTGCTTTGAATTTCTATACCCTGATACCACATAGTGCCTTAGTAACCTAAAGCAGTAGTATTCATTGAATAATAGTCCCTAATCAATGACAAAATTAGAAACATTAAAACTTCACTAAGATACTCCACCTCAAAAGTGTTTGGAAATTTGTGGAGAAGTTTTTCTTTGGTTTTCTTCTTCCTTTTCCTCCCAACACAAGTCCAAATTCTCCTTCAAGCCATCTATTTGCCTTCTAATATCTTCTCAGATGTTAAGTGATTTGAAGGAGTTAGCAGAGAAAGCACTTGTTTTAGTCAGCTTTTTGTCTCTGTGATCAAAAGACCTGACAATCTTTAAAATATCAGCATATGAGAGAAAACCCATACCTTCTTTAGGTGTCTTGGTTGGCCAACCCCATTGCTCTGTACCCAAGATGAGACAGAGAATCATGGAGGAAGGGCATGGAAGAGGAAAGCAGCTCAAGACATGGTCGTCAGGAAGGAGAGAGAGAGAGAGAGAGAGAGAGAGAGAGAGAGAGAGAGAGAGAGAGAAAGCAAATTAGTTCTGCTCCCCAGGGTAAAATATAAATCCTGAAGGCACTCTAGTGATCAACTTCCTCCATCCATACCCTACCTACAGTTACTACCCAGTTAATGGACACTTGTTAATCCACTGATTAGGTCAAAGCTTTCAGAATCTAATTGTTTCACCTTTGAACATTCTTGCCTTATCTTTCACAGGAGCTTTTGGGGATCACCCCATATCTAAACCATAATAGCTCTGGCTGTTTCAATTTAGAATAGGACTCCTGAAGAACAAATGGAGGATGGAGGAATAAATATAAGTGATGGTTCCCATTTCCAAACAGAGGACTGCCCAGCTATAACATCAGCAACAATAAGGTTGCATTTCTGTAGAGTTATCTCCATAAAGAACTTCACAAATTTCATCTCATTAGCGGCCTGAAGCCCAGCAAGGTTGGATGATTTGTTCATGGGCAAGAACTAATAAGTTAACAGAGACAGGACTCATATTTTTCTGACTTGAATCTCCCTTCTTGTGCCAAAACTGGTGTTAGAAACTGTGTGAGGAGAACCTTCTGTGGACATGAGAGAAAGGGAAGTGTCAAAGAAAGATTGCATCAGACATGGTTAAACAGGCAAGGAAGACTTTATTCAAGATGACTGAAAGACAGACTGAATCAACTCCACTGAGTCAAAAGGGTGGGGTTGTTAAGCACTAAGGTGTGCTAGTGGAAAAGTACCAGAGGACATTGGGGTGGGAGGTTGGTCAATGTGAGGAGGCCACCTGCAATTGCCAATCAGAGCTTGTTGCAATTAGGTTCCTGCCCTCCACAGACCCTGGGAGACAGGATCTATCATGAAAAGTGCCGTCCAATGCTTGTCTTGAAATCATTGAGAAGGATGTTAGGGGGTTGTAAAACCAAAACCAACAAGAAGTTGGGAAAAGAGTTAGATGGGTCAGAGAGAGGATTTATAATTAAAAAGTCCACTAAAGTAAATGCTCTGAGAAAAAAGAGGTCAAGAGCCTATAGTTAGGAAGAGATCTGTGTCTAGTCAAGCTGAGGGGAATGTGAGGGTGAGAGGGCAGCAAATATCACCTTTCCTTGTTCTCCAGAAAGCCAGGTCTCAGGTCTCAGCCCCCAACTGATCACCTTTAACAGGTAGCAGCTTTATCAGGGATGGACGCTAACCAGCCTGTGGAAGAACTCTGATTTAGATCCTCATGTTACCAGATAGAGATGGTTCCCTCTGCACCCTGGTTAACTGAAACTGTGTGTGTGTGTGTGTGTCTGCACCTGTGCATGAAAGGGGGGCGAGGAGAGGTTGGAGAGAAAGACAGACCCCTACAGTTTTCTGACCCTATCTCCATCCCAGAAATGACATTCTCAGAGCCAACTGCATCTACTTCTTTAGGCAAAAATCGTATTTTCATCTCAAAGTTGGTTTCACCCCACTGTGCCATTGGGTAATCCAAAGACAGAACCCAGAGATGCAGAGTTTCCTTCTAAAAAGCCATCCTCCTTAACCCTGCGGCAGAAGAAAATGGAAATCTCCTTGGCTGGCATTTCAGATTGCCTAAGGGGACCTTGCTTTGCTCTGAGGGCAGGTGACTGCTGACCTTAAAATCCAGGCTTCAGGAGGCATAGGATAAAGGTATTTTATTGTCTCCTAAAGGCTTTGATATTTTTCAAGTAAAAATTTAAAAGATCCAGTACTTTCCCCTGAAGCCTCTTCACAAAGTAGTAGATTTTAGAAAAGACAAAGGCCTGGGGGTGGGTGGTCCCTAAAGAGCAGTACCTGGAAGCCTCTTTTTCCCCTTTCCAGAGCATTAGGGTTTTCTTACCTCTCCCTCCTTTTTTTTTTTTTCTTACCTTTTCTCCTATTATCCAAAGTGCACATGGTCGGTTATTCCTCAGGTCCTGCTACCCCATTTTTCCTGATCCCCAGTCCCTTCAAATACCAAGCACCTCTCTTTTGATTGGCAGCTGTTTCCCTGCCTGGTGACAAGCCTGTCCTGCTGGGGGCTGAGGAGGGAGCGCCTTTGGTCACAGGGTGGCGCGCGCGAGCCTCTCAAAGCCCAGGCGACCACAGCTCCGCACCTGCTCTTTTATATCAACCCCACCCGCACCCCAGCGCTCCAGGAGGCGCGCCCCCAGCCTTCCCGGGTGGGATAGCGAGGAGCGCTTCTCTGGGACCTGGGTGACAGTCGGGCGGCAGTAGCGTCTGGCCCGCGGGAGAGCTGCTGCGGGCTCCGGAGGTCCCCGGCTCTAGGCTCCTCCTCTTACCGGCCCCCCACCCTCCCCATCTCAGCTCTTTGCAAGGCTTCCCGGAGCAGCCTTGGAGCAGCGGCAGGCGCAGCGCAGGCAGCAGGAGGAGCACAGCCGGCCAGCCGCGCCGAGCCTTCGGGCAGCGGCGATGGCGTGCTAAGAGCAGTCCGGGGCACCCTGCACCTCTAGGAAAGAAGAGGACCCCCAGGGTCTGCAGCTGGGAAAGGGGGAGGCAAGTGCGTGTGTGTGTGTGTGTGTGTATGAGAGAGAGAGAGAGAGAGAGAGAGAGAGAGAGAGAGAGAGAGAGAGAGAGAGAGAGAGAGAGAGTGTGTGTAGGGCGGAGGAGAGGGCAGGGGATTCATTCGAGGGCGCAGTCCCCTGGATGCCCCCGCCGGTACTCAAGGTTTTCCCGCGTGGGAGCCGGCTCCCTGACGTCGCTCACCATGGACTTGCGCGGAGTTGAAACCGGCCAAAGCACCAACCCGCAGTTGACTGCCCAGCCCTGGGGCATTGCGGGTGCGCGCAAGGGGATGGCAAGGTAGGATGGACGCCCAGCGCGACCACCGCCGCCCCAACGCAGCGGTCCCCGGGCGGTGCCGCTGACTCTCCAGAGCGCACAGGCGTGTGGGCGGAGGCGGCCCCGCTTCGCCCGCGTCTTCGCGAGTCGCTTTGCCTCTTCCACCCACTCGCACCTGCCACCGCGCCAGACCATGTCGAAGGCTGCTGGAGGCACAGGGGCGGCGACAGAAAGTTGTCCCCCAGCCCCGGCTGGTACATCCCCCGCCGCCGCGGTGGAGGATCTGTCCAAAGTATCAGACGAAGAGCTGCTGCAGTGGAGCAAGGAGGAGCTGATCCGCAGCTTGCGGCGCGCTGAGGCAGAGAAGGTGAGCGCGATGCTGGACCACAGCAACCTCATCCGTGAGGTGAACCGTCGCCTGCAGCTGCATCTCGGAGAAATCCGCGGGCTCAAGGTGAGCGCAGGGTCAAACGGGGAGCGGGGTGCACTGGGAAGGGGGGAAGGCAAACTTTCTCTCGCTCCTTCAACAGGCGATTCTCCCCTTTCTCCCAGTCAGCACCCCTCACCCTCATCCTCAGCCCTTAGGAAAGTTTTTCAAACTTTGGAGGCTTTTGCTTGCCTCGTTTTCTCCATATGGGGCGCGCCAGCTTCGAGGCTCTCTAGGGTCCTTCGAAGCCAGTAGAGAAGGCGCCTAGAATGCTGAAAATCGGGGCGGGGTGGGGACCTGATGGGCACGCAAAACCTTTAATTTCCAAAGGACCCTGTAAAGTCGATGCTTTGGGGAGCCGGGTTATAGCCAACCAGGGGGAAAGGAGAGCAAAGGAGAAAGATCAGGGCATCTAAGACTTGGGGGGTCAGGGATATGGCTGCCCTGGCGCCACCAGCTCTCTGCTGAGCAGAGGGCGATGAAAGGGCACCACTGCCGAGAGAAGGGGTGGGGGGTGGGGGTGTCCAGAGAGAAGACGCGGGCGCCACCCTTGGAGCCTGCGTGTGTGTTACCGGGTGCAGAGGATCTTAAGTTCTGCCTTCAAGTAGACTCCTAGCTTTTGTGCTCTCACCTCCACTTCGGCTAACGTCACCTGGAGTTGCCTTACTCCCCTCCCCAGTTTACCCCTAATTTGATTTTAATTTTATCCAGCGTGTAAAGAAGGGGGAGGCAGCAAAGGACTCAATATGGAGGGGTCAAGGTTTTGAAAGGGTACCCAAGTGTCGGGCAGTAATGCTTTCTTTTTGATCCCGTCATCTTTCTGCCCATAGCAAAAGGAGGGGGGAATCCCCAAGCCCCACTAACCTAACTTTTCTCCTTGGAAATCTCTGTGTGTGCCGGCAGCATGCCCACAAGGCTGTAGCAGACCTGGTGGCAGGGTGACCGGGAACCGCCCTGCCGGCAGGCACTGCAAACTTCCTCTCCTCAAGGCTTGCCTGGTGCCTCCTGGTATTCCTTCCTCTCATTGTTCTGCTTTTGTTTATAGGAAGCCAGACACAAACGAAATCACTGTAGAGACCTCAGGGAGCAGATTCCCGCAGGCACAAGCTGTTCTTGTCCCTTTCCACTTCCACCCCACTTCTCAGGCAGTGGACTCTGTTCGGTTAATTGCCTCATGCCCTGGGATTTTGGGGCAAAGAGGGGTGGGAGGGGCCGGGTGACCAAGACTCACCTGTGTGCTAAAGTCAGTGTGGGTGAAAATGGCCCTTCCCAGAGACCCAAACTCGCTGTCATATAGTCCCTAGAGAGGGTGTAATAAGGAAGATTCCATGGTTAGAGAAATCCCAAGGCTTGCTCTCTTCTTTATTTTAATTCATTACTAATGGAGTATTTATTAAGAACCAGGCACTTTGGGGAATAGAAGTAGGCTAAAATAGTGAGAAGGAATATCAGAGGTGGATTTGAATCTAAAGTCTGCATCTGCCAGAAAGGTGAGCTTGGCTAATTAATTTGTCAGATCTTTATTTTATTCATCAATAAAATGCAAATGATAAGAATCATTTCCTATGATGTTGTGACAGTAAGTTATGATCACACAGGGAAAGGTTTAATACTGGACTTGACTGCAAAATATGGTGGTTAGAGTCATCAGGAGAGGACATATACATGCATAGTCATTAATTTCCAGGTCTGGGTTTCTTAGGCAAAGCTAGACAGTGGTATTAATTCTCTCCAATTTAATCTTCCAAGGTTTGAACCATGATGTGGCTTGGGAAAGTTTTAAATTACTTAATCAATTAATTTCCTGAATATTTAATGCTATGAAGAATCAATATAATAGCTTAAGAAATTCTTCAACATTCTTTTAGGTTGTGTGGACTTGAGTGTGTATGAGGGTCTAGGTGTGAGTGGGGAGGGGTCTGGGTGGTGGGCTGCCTGTTCTTTACTGGAGGAGCCTCATTTAGAGAAACAGCTGTTTGGCCAGTTAAAAGTGGCAACCAGGTAAGAAAGTTTCCCTGTGGCCTAGATTCATGACCTGGCATTAAAAGACTCCCTAGCCTATCTCTATCAAGTTCAGAAATGATGGAGGTAGTTACTTTCTGTGGCAGAGTATACTCTTTTGATGTCAGCCCTGGGTAAATTCAGGAGGTGGCCTGAGGGTGCCATGGGGTTAAGGCTCTGCTGAGAGATAAATATTCTCCCTTCTCTTCAGCATTTGGCCTCAGAGCTTCCTTAGACACTGCAGCAATCAGAAACATGATTGACTGAATTAATGGTAGGTATACTTATTTATTTTGTCTTAACCATAAGAAAAAGAGATTTTATATTTGGGCCTCTATGGTTGGATACTCTGCATTAAGAGGTGTAAAGGTAGGATAATGAAGGCCACAACACTTTTCTTTGCTGTGCCCCTTTCTGTGAACTGACATTGACATTATATCTAAATATTTTTAAGGCTAGTACATAGGACTGCAGCTGTATGATTTGTCAGCATGGGCAAACTGTTAACCTCTCTGAGTCTTTTTCTCATCTGCTCAATAGGGATTTTGATTCCATACTAAGTTTTGTGAAGAGTAAGTGATACCCAGATGCAGAAGCTCAGTGAGCCTAGTTAGCTTTCTCAAAGTCACACAGATTAAAATGTTGGAAATAGGTCTACTTTCTTCTTCCTTGGGTAGTTGACATTCTTTGATTAGAATGTGTGAACTCAAAAGGGATGGAGAAAGGAGATTAGGGTGCTGGATTCCTGAGAAACATTTCTTTGTATTATTGAGCATATACCAACCTTCAGGTTACTCTGGCCCAGAATCCCGTTGGGGGGATGATTCTAGGGCAACTGAATCTCTGTCGATTTGTTGTCTGAATTTCATTAATTTCTCTACTTGCTCCCTAACACATCAAACCCTTCCCCTAATCCTGCAGTAAGAAGAAAGAACAAATTAGAACATTTCTTTAATCATAGATGCAGTTCTTCATAGTCTGCAGGCAGAAGATTGAAAGTTTGGGTGGTATTCTAGGAGATGGACTTCAAGGTTTAAAAGTCCACTTTAGTCACTGGGATAACATCTATTGGACTATGGTGATGTCAGAAGAACACTTAGGGTTTGGAAAAAGAAATTCCAAGTCTTTTTTTTAATTAGTTGCTCAAAACATTATAATGATCTTGACATATCATATATCATACATTTGATTCAAATGAGGTATGAATTTTTATTTTTTCCCATGTGTACAGATTGCAGGATCACATTGGTTATACAATCACGTTTATACATACTGTCATACTAGTATCTGTTGTATTCTGCTGCCCTTCCTATTCCCTTCCTATCCCTTCTCCCCTCCCCTCCCATCATCTCTCTCTACCCCATCTACTGTAACTCGAAATTCCAAGTCTTAATGAGGAAGATTTGAAGAACCAGCTCATAAGGTTATTATCAAGCTGGTTGCTTAGCTGGGCATCAGAGGGTGAAGGAAATATCCCCAAATTAGTAACTAAATAATATTCCTGAGAAAATTAATAATAGGAAGGAGCTGTGATAAAATAAAGTGAATGGGCCCATACCTGCTCCCAGCCACCCTCCTGGAATACTGAGAAAGGACTGTTTTAGGTTCTTTGGAGAGGACATTAATTAGAGAGGACATTAACTGAGAAGCCTTTGGAATTCCAGTTTGCATTCCCGTTCTAGAGAAATCAGGAGTAGCTGTGGGGATAGTCAAAAGGAAGTGTTTTCAGATGTAGATTCATTCAGATGAAGAAGAACATGACTTGAACTTTCTATCAAATGCCAGGATTAAACTAAATGGTGAATAATTTTTTGAAGCTTAGAAAGATTAATTTTGTTTAGTATTATTTTCTCTGAATATCCACAGCTTCTGATTTTCTCTAAAGCATCTGCATCAAGGGATAATTTATCCTCTTACTATTGTGGACTCCAACATGGCAGGGCTCACTGAAAACAATTGTAAGAAGCCCTTTTTCAGTAGTTACAGCTGTAGCCTTTTTTTCCCCCCATTAAAAAATTTTATTTATTTCTTTATTTTTATTAGCTCATTTTAGGTGTATACAATATTAGGGTTGCTGTAGACTTTTTTGGTCCCAAGCCTAGGGCTTTTAAAGGGTTGATCAATCCAAGAACACGTATTAAACACATATTAAACACCCACTATATTCAAGGTACCATAATAAATGTTGCAAATGTCCCCCCACCCCCCCAAAAAGACATCAGACTTCTCCTCTGCCTTCTAGAAGCTATGTTATCTATATGAGAAAGGAGATAACTGATGCCCAATGAATGCTAAAGTGTGTTTCAGGCATTAACAACAGGAGGGATGTTACTTCATTCATTTATTCATGGGGTGGTGTTCCATGCAGGGGGAGACTTCTCAGAGAAATCTGTCCTTTGAAATAAGTTCATACAGGCAGGAAGGTGATACTTGTAGCTGGAATGCATGGTATTCTCAGGGTTCAAAACTAGTTGACAGAAGGAGCTAAAGGTGGAAAGGCAGAAAAATCCTTTTAGGCTTGGCCCAGGGGTTTATTCACTTCTTGGCAAAGGGAAGGTGTTGGAGGTTGGTTAGCAGCAGAAGCAAAACATTCAGGAAATGTTTTTGAAGTTGAAGATCAGTCTGGTTCAGCAGGCCAAGGAGTGCTTGGATTGGAGTGGGGGAGGCAAGACTAAGGCAGAAAGGCCAGCTAGGAAACTGTTGGCAAACATCAGGTCCTAGTCATAAAGGGGCCATGGAAAGCAAAAGGAAGAGGCCGGCATTGGAAACAAGGAAATGGAGTTGTTGGTAACGCCAAGAGTTACAACTGGAGTTAGAAACGAAGCTGCATAGGCTTCTTCCTCAAGCCTCAAAATTCCCTTTCATCTTAGGCCTTGTTAATGTCAGGAAGTGAAGGATATGGTTGGCAGATGTTTTCAAGTGTATTTACTAGTCAATATCAGGGGAAGTATGGGAATCAACCTCAGTTTAAAAGAAGTAAGTCCCCTCTCTGAGAACCTCAGGTTCTGGATTGGATGATGAAATTGCAAGACCAGAGGATTTCAGGCTTGGAAAAACAGGGTAACTCTTAGGTAGCAGTCCCACAGCTGCCTGTATATCATTTCTATCAAACCCTGATGCTTCTTTCACTATATGTGTGAATGGAGAGCAAGTAGGAATGGCATAATGCATGTTTCAATTTCTTAGTTTGGGGTACCTACAATGGGTGTACTGCATTCTGCATGCACAGGGGAGTGGAATAGATGAGGTTCCCATTCTCATGACTCTAGTGAGGGTGGAGACTTGAATTAGCAGGCATACATGGCAGTATTGTAGTAAGTATGACAGAGGCGAAGTCTAAGGGGTGATATAGAGCATAGAGGTAGACCTTCTTTATATTGGGGTGGCCCTTCTTCAGAATGTCTTCTATGGGGGAGTGACGTAAAATGAACCCTGATGGCTGTGTAGAAGGCTGGGGAAAGAAAGCATTGCAAGTGAAAAAGGAGAAGGCCTTCCCCTTTGGTAGGTTGGGGGTGCTTAATGTGTGATGCTCACCTTCTGCCCTGCAAGCCACCTATCCAAGCTATCATCATCTCCCACCTGGACCAGCCTAGTAGTCTCCTTGCTGGTCTGGTGGCCATTTTGTCCTGTTTCCCTCCCTGCTCTCCCCTCCCCAACCCAGCTGGCTGCTTTTTTACACTGAACTATGATGGTTCTTCACAAAATGAATCATATGTCATTCCTCTACTCTCAGCTCTTCAACAACCCAAAGTCTGACCACTATTCAGTCCCTGACAACTCAGACCTTCCTTATCTCTGTGCTTTACATAGTGGCTTCCCTGTGACTTGGGCTTTTGCTGTCATGTCCTTTCAGGGGCTTTTGTACTTGCCTTGTCTCTGCCTGGGATCAGCTTCACTGACATGTTTGCTCTTTCATTTCACTGAGGTCTTTGCTTTAAATGTTTCCCTTTCCTATAGAGACACCTTCTCTTGAAAAGTAGTAATTTTTAATCTGCTTTAGTTTTTACCCCAGAATCTTTCATTATGACCCATTATGTGCTTTGCTTGTGTGTGTGTGTGTGTGTGTGTGTGTGTTTCCTATTCTTTTCCACCAGAATGAAAACTGGGGGATGTGAAGGTGTCTGCTATCTCTACTGATATATCCATATATCCATACCACTTTGGCTGGTTTCTGGCACATAATAGATGCTTTACTACATCTTTGTGAATGAACAAATGGATCACCATCTATGCTAGAGAAGTAGAGCAAGTCATAGCATTTGGGATCTTGTGAGAATTGAAGGATCTTGCACATTGTTATTCTAAAGGAAATGAGAAGCTATTCAAAGTTTTTTTTTTAAACACGGGAGTGACTAGATGAACTTAAATTTGGAAATCAAGTCCCAAAACTTGTTTGGCTTGGAAGTAGAAGGTGAGGGAGGAGATGCCAGGGATAACTACAGGTTCTTAAGAAGAGCATAGGTGGAGGTGGGATTTGCTGAAACGTGTAATTTGGGAAGGGGTGTTGTATATCAAGAGGTCCTTGAGGCTCAAGTGTCAGATGCTTGGGAAATATTTGTTTGGGTATGGCAAATGGGTTGGATGTGCAGGACTGAAATGCCACTAGAGGGCAATTGTGCCTTTCCCTAGTGGGGGGATTGGGGTTGCTCATTCCATATTGTGGGCTAAAAATTAAGTAGTCCTTCGATTGCTCTGTTGAAAGCCCTGCTGCCTCAGAGTTTTTAAATGTTTAGTAGGTGGCAAGTAGCCATCTTTCTTTCTAGAGGGTGGGGTAGGGGGAACCTTGTTTTTCTATCGACTGGTTCCCTGTTAATTAACTGGCTGTTCTCTAAATACTGTCTAGATGATCTTTGGATGAGTTAAGCTTTGAGAAGTCATTTTCCCATCTATGGGTCCCCTTCAGAACCATAATAATTATTATCCATTATGTGTTTAGGTGAATATTAGATAAAATAATGCAAGTAAAGTATTGTGCAGGGAACATGATCAATGCCTATTATTTTTTAACTTTTAAGGATAACTTAAAAATCTTCAGTTTCTTTTCACCTTCCTACCTCCTCTGGCAATTTCCTGGAGAATTTAGCATTTCCACATTCTCTGGCTCCTGGGAAGTCTGGCCTAATGAGGTCTCCTATGTGTACCTCCCTAGAATGGTTCTCTGTCTTTTTTCAGGATATCAACCAGAAACTCCAGGAGGACAACCAGGAACTGAGGGACCTCTGCTGTTTCCTGGATGATGACAGGCAGAAAGGCAAGAGGGTGTCCCGGGAGTGGCAGAGACTAGGCCGCTACACTGCTGGGGTGATGCACAAGGAAGTGGCCTTATATCTGCAGAAGCTGAAGGAGCTGGAGGTGAAGCAGGAGGAGGTGGTGAAGGAGAACATGGAGCTCAAGGAACTCTGCGTGCTCCTGGACGAGGAGAAGGGTGCGGGCTGCGCCGGCAGCCGCTGCTCCATTGACAGCCAGGCCAGCCTGTGCCAACTCACTGCCTCCACCGCACCGTATGTGCGGGATGTGGGCGATGGCAGCAGCACCTCCAGCACTGGCAGCACTGACAGCCCTGACCACCACAAGCACCACGCAAGCGGTGGCAGCCCTGAGCACCTGCAGAAGCCCCGGAGTGAGGGCAGCCCGGAGCACTCCAAGCACAGAAGCGCCAGCCCTGAACATCTACAGAAACCCAGGGCCTCCGGGACCCCAGATCACCCCAAAGCACTCAAAGGACCCAGCCCCGAGCACCACAAACCATTGTGCAAGGGTAGCCCGGAACAGCAAAGGCACCCACACCCTGGAAGCAGTCCTGAAATGCTGCCCAAACACGTGCTGAGCGGGAGTCCAGAACATTTCCAGAAGCACAGGCCAGGGGGCAGCCCGGAACACGCCAGGCACAGCGGAGGGAGTCCCGAGCATCTTCAGAAACATGCCCTTGGTGGGAGTCTGGAGCACCTACCCAGAGCCAGGGGCACCAGCCCCGAGCATCTCAAACAGCATTTTGGGGGGAGCCCTGATCACAAACACGGAGGCGGAGGCAGTGGTGGAGGCAGCAGGGAGGGCACCCTCAGACGACAGGCGCAGGAGGACGCGTCACTCCATCACCGGAATGTCTACAGTGGCATGAACGGTGGGTCAGTACGTGCTGGGGAACTGCGTTGACTGGGGCAACTCAGTAGAGTTCTGAATGACCAAGGGCTTTCCAGCCATGCTGGAAAGGGGTGGATTGGGAGGAGGAAGAGGCATTGGCTCTGGAATTATGATGTGTGTTTCTTCCCCTCAATTTGTTTTTGTTTAATACAGTTATCAGTCAAGTAAGCCTGAAGAAGGTTGGGGGGTGAGGGATTAGAGGAGGGACAGGAACAGTAATTCCCTGGGACCCTGAGTTGCCTGGGTGAAATCTAAATATTGGAGATAAAAATAGATTCTTCCCTCTTGACCTTTATTGAATTGTATGAGGTTTCCTACTCGGGCTCACTTGTTGAATGAAGTCTGAGCAGGTCCTGAATCCAAGCTAGTATCTTATGTTCAGGAAGAAATCAATATTTATGTTGAAAAGACACGTTGAAAAATAAATATGGTGTCCCTTGATGCAGACTTGATGCTACTTTGCTTGAGTGCTTATAAATGTTCCTTAATCTTGAGAAATTTTCCCATTGTGTTGGGGGTGGTAGCATGAATCTGTGATTTTTATTTGTATCTAAAAATGTATCAGATAATTCCCTTTCCTACTCACCCAAAACTCACCAACCCTCTAACCAAACCCTCCTAAACATATTCTGGACAGTATGCTCTTCTACATTACATAAGAATCTTTATGGGTCATTTAAATGTACCTCTTTAAAATGTACAGATGTGCTTGGACACTCCTTTGATTTCCAAAGCATAACATCCACTGCATTTGCTGAGGCAGCACTAAACCTGAGCTTTTAAACCTTTTGGAAGAGGCTTAATTTTCTGCATCTTGGTTCTGAAACTACTTTGAACTCAAGAGAGAAAGAAATCATTTCTTAAAGAAAACAAATCAAAAACCAAACAAGCAACACACATACACACACACTCTCGAAAATCCACAACCACAATAACCCACCTCCCCCCACAAACCTTACACTTCTTTTGTGTTACCTATCCTTGGGTTGAAGCTTAAAGTGATTGGTTTTTATAAATGTGGAACTTTTCATTCAAAACAACTGAGTTTTTTCCCCCCGCCTCTATTTGGGAGCTGCTCTATAGAGTTTATGTGCAGCTAGCTCTGAGCAGTTGTGGAAGAGGCTGCCGGTTTTAGCAGTGACACAAAGGGGTAAATTTTCAATATTGTACTTGGGGATTTACCTGTTGGATTCCTTTTCAGCCTAATCCTTTTCTCATAGTGCTGAAAATTGACTCCGGAAGCTTGGCTTCTAATGCAGCCAGTGTTCTTTTTAGTGCAAATGGAACTAGAAAGAGGGAGGGGAGGGATAGGAAGCTACTGCTTTCTGGGTTGTTTGTGTTAAGAGGCTGCAGGGAGAAACCAATTCACCTGCTTCCTGGAGGCCTGGCTGGCTGGTGTCTGGACCAAGTTAACTGAACCTACTACACTCACTGTTGCCAAGAGCCACAGCAGCTGTGCACCAGTGGCTTTGGGGGGGGGGGGGCTTGGCTATGCAGGTCTCCAGAAGAGATAAAACTCATTTAAAAAGATATTTTAGTTGTGTTATTATCATGAGATGGGTCATTGGCCATGACACTTGTCTTCAGGGGCTGTAATGGGTCAGTGGGGAGATAGTTAAGGGCTTTTCCATTTTGTGATTACATTTTAATGAGCTGTAGAAGTAACTTAAACTAAAACAAAACAAAATAAAACAAAAAACCCAATAGCTAGCGGCAGGTGGTTCACTTAATAAATAATTCTTCCATTATTATTCTTGAATATTATTATTTTTGACTGAGAAATTATAATTGTATATACTTGTTGGGTACAATGGAATGTTTTGATCTATGTATACAATGTGGAATGATTAAATTAAGCTAATTAACATACATTACCTTGATGATATTTTTATATGACATTTGGAATGCACTTTCTTAGTTATTTTGAGATGTACATTGTTGTTGACTATGGTCATCAAGGTCTCAAAATCTATTCCTCCTGTCTGAAATTTTGTGCCCTTTAATGAACAACTCCACATTTTCTCCTTTCCCACTATCCCAGCCTCTGATGACCAGTATTCTACCATATACTTCTGTGACTTCCACTTGAGTGGATCCTGTGGATAAGTGAGATCATGTGACATTTGTCTTTTTGTATCTGACTTATTTCAATTAATATAATATCCTTCATTTTTATCATGGTGTTGCAAATGAAGGATTCCCTTTTTTTATGGTTGACTAGTATTCTATCTTCTATATATTCCACATTTCCTTTATCCATTCATCCATGGATGGACACTTAGATCAAGTCCAAATCCCTGCTATTGTGACTACATGATGAAATAAATGTGGTAGTACGGATATTCCTTCTACATATTTATTTCAGTTACTTTGGAAGTATATCCAGAAGTAGGATTACTGGGTCATATAATCATTCTATATTTAATTTTTTGAGGAACTTCTGAACCATCTTCCATAATAGCTATACTAATTTATGTTCCCACCAACATTGTATGAGTTCCCTTTACTCAACATCCTCTCCAACATTTATCTTGCAACCTGTTGATAAAATCACCTTACCAGGTGTGAGGTGACATCTCATTATAGTCTCAATTTGCATTTCTCTAACAATTAATGATGCTGAACATTTGTTTGTATTCCTGTATTCCATTTATAGACCTTTTGAGAAATGTTGTTCAATCTTTTGCCCATTTTTAAATTTGGGTTGTTTTCTTGCTGTGGAGTTGTTTGAACACTTTAGAGAGTATTCAACTTTATAAATTCTTTTTATGCTTTGCACAATAACCTTTTATAAGAAGTATGACTTGGAGATATTTTCTCTCATTCTGTGTGTTGTCTCTACTTTCTCCATTATTTCTTTTGCTGTGTAGAGGCTTTCTAGTTTGATATGATCCCATTTTTCTATGTTTACTTTTGTTGCTGTGCTTTTAGGGTTAGATCCAAAGAATCATTGCCCAGACCAGTGTTATAGAACTTGTCCCTATTTTTCCTTTTAATAATTTTATAGTTTCAGGTCTTATATTTAAGTTATTCATCTATTTTGAAGATTTTATGATGATTTTTGTATTTGGTACAAAAATCTTTCATTCTTCTGCATGTGGATATCTAGTTTCCCCAATGCCATTTATTAAAAAGACTGTCCTGTCCCCATTGTAAGTTCTTGAAAACTTTGTCAAAAATTATTTGACCCTAAGTGTTTGGGTCTATTTCTGGAGTTTCTGTTCCATTCCATTCATCAATCTGTTTTTTTTTTGGCCAGTACCATGCTATTTGATGACAACTGCTTTATAATATGTTTTGAATTGGAGAAGTGCAATGCCTTTAGCCTTTAGTAGAAGATTATTTTGGCTACTCAGGGTCTTCTGTGGTTCCATATGGACTTAAGGATATATAGATATATTTTGCCATTTTTGTGAAAAATGACATTGGGATTTTAATAAAGATTGCATTGTATCTTTAGATTGCTTTGGGTGGACATGGACATTTTCACAATATTAATTCTTCAATCCATGAACACAGAACATCTTTCAGCTTATTTGAATTTGAATTTTCTTCGATTGCTTTCATCAGTGTTTTATAAATTTCAGGATATAAGTCTTTTACCTCCTAGATTAAATTTATGCATGCTTAATTTTTTTATGTTTCCCAAGAGTTTATTATTAGTTTATAGAAGTGCTGCTGATTTTTGTACGTTGATTTTTGTGTCCTGCAATTTTACTGAATTTGCTTATCAGGTCTGCAGGTTTTTTGGTGGATACTTGGGTTTCCTATACATAAAATGATACCATCAGCAAATAGACACAATTTTCTTCTTCCTTTCCTATTAGGATGGCTTTTATTTCTTTTGCCTAATTTCTCTGGCAGGGATTTCCAATACTATGTTGAAAAGAAGTGGTGAGAGTGAGCATCTTAGAGGAAAAGCTTTCAAGTTTTTACTGATGAGAATAGCATTACCTACAGGTTTGTCATATTACCTTTATTGTATTGAGGTACATTTCTTCTATAATTGAAATGATTTTTACCATGAAAGGATCTTGAATTTTGTTAAATGTTTTTAAGGTTTCTGTTGGGAGTTTTTCTCTAGTTTAATCGATGCACGATTTAACTTAAAAGAAAAATTTTTAGGTATAACCTTTAAACAATGCCTTACACAAAGCAAGGTATATTTGTAGAGAACGATCATATTACATCATGATTTATTTTTGCCTGAATTCTGGTAAACATGGTGGGTCAGGCAAATGTTTTGTAGAATTGAACAACTTAATTTAGCGACAAATTTGATTTAATAGCTACATTATTGAATCACACTGCAGTTTTAATTCTTGCGTCTACTTCAAGTTTTCTCATTCTTAAATTTTCTCATCTGGTGCCTACTTCAAGTTTTCCCATTCTTGTGACTACTTCAAGTTTTGTCATTCAGATCTTCTGGTGACAGTCGATATCCTCACCAGAGTATATTTATAGTACATTTGTATTGCATTTTCATTTCAGTAATTAATTGGAAAATGAAGTGGCACAATGAGATGTTTATGGATCATCAGCCTATAAACTTGTGCATTGGTAGTTTGTATTTATCCTGCCGTTACAAATTAATTTTTGATATGGATGGTAAGACATGCTTTTTCACATTTTAAAAATTGCCACACAATTTGTTTGAATCATTGGTGCATAGACAGATAAGAAGTAGTAGCGAGGTTAATCCCAAATTACAGATTTGCTGAGTCATTTCCAGAGCTCCTCCTTTAGGGTTGGGATGAACTATGAGTGTTTTGGTTCAGCACTTGCATGTTTTTGTAGGAACAAAAAGCAGATGAAAGGAAAAGGAAGGAGTGCCTTAATTATGGCAGGCAGAGAGATGAAATATATACTGGCAGAATATTGTCCTACCTGTAAGATATGCATTTTCTCCAAACACACACACTTAAGCACACTGAGGGAACGTCAATGAAAAGGATTGCTGTTTTAGTTGACTGGGCCTTG